ACCTTTCCTCATAGGGAAAGTGTTCCAACCCTTTTATCATTCGAGTTGCCCTTTTCTGCACTTTTTCCAAAGCTATAATATCTTTTTTAAGGTGTGGTGCCCAGAACTGCACACAGTATTCCAAATGAGGTCTCACCATTGATTTATATAGGGGCATTATTATATTGGCTGATCTGTTTTCAATACCCTTCCTAATAATCCCCAGCATAGCATTGGCCTTCTTTATTGCAGTCACACACTGTCTCGACATTTTCAGTGAGTTATCCACTACAACTCCAAGATCTCTCTCTTGATCAGTCTCTGCCAGTTCAGACCCCTGGTAGGTTCCATGACCATCTGTTCCGTAGCCCTAGCCATTTGACCACAGGTACCAAGACTGGCCTAGGATAAAAACTGCTGCCTCTGATGGTCTGCACAATGAACTACCGAATGATGCCACCCTGATAAGAACATAAGAACATAAGAGATGCCAATGTTGGATCCTTTTGTATTTCATTGAGTGCCCACGAGTTCTTGTATTGTGATTGTATTTCTCTACCTGCTCTATCCCATAATCTTATAAACCTCGATCATGTCACCCCTCAGTCGTCTTTTCTCCAAGCTAAAGAGCCCTAAGCGCTTTAACCTTTCCTCATAGGGAAAGTGTTCCAACCCTTTTATCATTCGAGTTGCCCTTTTCTGCACTTTTTCCAAAGCTATAATATCCTTTTTAAGGTGTGGTGACCAGAACTGCACACAGTATTGCAAATGAGGTCGCACCATTGATTTATATAGGGGCATTATGATATTGGCTGATCTGTTTTCAATACCCTTCCTAATAATCCCCAGCATAGCATTGGCCTTTTTTATTGCAATCACACACTGTCTTGACATTTTCAGTGAGTTACCTACTACAACCTACAACTCCAAGATCTCTCTCTTGATCTGTCTCTGCCAGTTCAGACCCCATCAATGTGTATTTATATTTAGGATTTTTGGCTCCAATGTGCATCACCTTGCACTTGGCCACATTGAACCCCATTTGCCATGTTGACGCCCACTCGCTCATCTTTGACAGATCCCTTTGGAGTGCCTCACAATCCTCACTGGTTTTCACCACCCTGAACAACTTCGTATCATCTGCAAATTTAGCCACTTCACTGCTTACTCCCAACTCCAAATCATTAACGAACAAGTTAAAAAGCAGTGGACCAAGTACTGATCCCTGCGGTACCCCACTGCTTACCCCCCTCCACTGAGAGAACTGCCCATTTATACTCACTCTCTGTTTTCTATTAATTAGCCAGTTTTTGATCCATAAAAGGACTTGTCCTTTTATCCCATGATTTTTGAGCTTACTTAGGAGCCTTTGATGAGGAACTTTATCAAAAGCTTTCTGGAAGTCAAGGTAAACAATATCTATTGGATCCCCCTTGTCCACATGTTTGTTCACCCCCTCAAAGAACATTAACAGGTTAGTGAGACAAGATCTTCCCTTACAGAACCCATGTTGAGTCTGCCTCAATAGGTTTTGTTCATCTATGTGCCTACTAATTCTTTCCTTAATAATGGTTTCCACCAATTTACCCGGTATCGACGTCAGACTGACAGGCCTGTAATTTCCCGGATCTCCTCTGGAACCCTTTTTAAAGATGGGAGTGACATTAGCTACCTTCCAGTCCTCAGGAATGGAGGCTGATTTTAAGGAGAGATTACATATTTTTGTCAGGAGATCCACAAGTTCACAATTGAGTTCTTTCAGAACTCTTGGATGTATGCCATCTGGGCCTGGTGATTTATCAGTTTTTAAGTTGTTTATCAGTTTTAGGACCTCCTCTCTCGTCACCTCAATCTGACTCAGGTCTTTCAACACCCCTCCCGAACTCAGCGGCTCTGGAGTGGGCAAGCACCTCTCATCTTCCACAGTGAAGACGGAGGCAAAAAATGCATTTAGCTTCTCAGCCATTTCCCTATCATCCTTCAGTACTCCTTTTACCCCTTGGTCATCCAAGGGCCCCACTGCCTCCCTGGCTGGTTTCCTGTTTCTAATGTATTTGAAGAAAGTTTTATTGTTGGTCTTTACATTTTTTGCTATATGCTCCTCATATTCCCTTTTTGCATGCCTGACCACAGACTTGCATTTTATTTGCCATAGCCTGTGTTCTGTTTTATCAGCCTCACTGTGACTAGCTTTCCACCGCTTAAAGGAATCCTTTTTACCTTTTACAGCTTCCATTACTTTGTTTGTTAACCATGTAGGCTTTTTCTTATACCTGTTTGTGCCTTTCCTAACCTGCGGAATATATTTTATTTGAGCTTCTAGAATTGTAGTTTTAAACAGTTTCCAAGCTTCCCCAATGGTTTTGACCCTTTCTACTTTTCCCTTCAGTTTCCTCCCCACATGTCCCCTCATATCAGAAAAATTACCCCTTTTAAAGTTAAAAGTGGTTGTGTGAGTCTTTTTGGCCAATTCCCTATTTGTACAAATGTTGAACTCAACAACATTATGATCACTGTTCCCAAGCGGTGCAATCACTTTTACATCTCTCACCAGGTCTTGAGTGTTACTTAGGACCAAATCAAGGATCGCCTCTCCCCTGGTAGGTTCCATGACCATCTGCTCCATAGCGCAGTCATTTAGAGTGTCTAGAAACTCAATCTCTTTCTCTCGACTAGAACACATATTGACCCAATCAATGTGTGGGTAGTTAAAATCACCTATTACGACACAGTGTTTTTGTCTAGCTGCTATCTTTAATTCATTCATCATTTTATAATCCTCCTCTATCTTTTGATCCGGTGGGCGATAACAAACTCCCAGTGTTAAGTTTCCTTTTGGCCCCCCTATTTCAACCCACAGAACTTCAAGAAGCGAATCCAATTCTCTTAGCCTCTCAATCTTTCTGGACTTTATACCCTCTCTGACATACAGAGCCACCCCACCTCCAACCCTTCCCCCCCTATCCTTCCGATATAATATATATCACCGTATCCCACTGATTTTCCTCATCCCACCAAGTTTCTGAAATACCCACAGTGTCTATTTTTCCCTCCAACACCAAGCACTCCAACTCCCCGATTTTACCTCAGACACTTCTAGCATTTGTATAGAAACAGCTGTAATTTTCCATACAAGTTAAGCCTGCAGCCTTCCTCTTGCTATCTCGAGACCTTGTCAGGCAGTCCATGTCACTAGCCATGGTCTCAGTGGACAATTTCAATCCACCTCCCTGTAGAAAAGCAACAGCTACCCCCTCATCTTTCTAAGATGAGCCAACCCGAACCATTCTGGCTTCGTAATTCTTTTAAAATAAGTAAATATAATCCCCCTTTTAAAACCATTTGTATTTATGTGGTTTTTCTTGTCGAAGTCAACTTACCTTACAGGGAAGACAAGGAGCCTAGGGCCTTGGCTTTCTGGCTCTTCTTGGGCTTCTTACAGAGCCCCTAGTCTAAGAGCCACAGGCAAAGAGCCCTTTAGCTCGCCCTGATCTTCCTGGAGGAAGGGTGAGATAAAAACACAATAAAGAAGTACTTAAATGGAATTCCTCTCCCCAAAGCAGAACAACTGTGAATTAGAAAGCCAGGAAGAATTCAAGGGGGTGCCTAGTTATCACCCCACAATTCTGGACTGAATTCAAGTAATGAAGAAAGAACAGAAACACATAGCAGCATATTCTCCCCAGTTTCTTGAGGGTCCCTGCACCACCACCAGAACAATGGAGAAACAAAGCAAGGCAGGAAAGAAGGAATCAGAGGGGGGGGCAGACAAACTGGTGGATTAGGATAGTAAGAAAGCTTGCAAACAGCAGTCATTTAGGTGCCAGCAGTGAGGAAATGCATTCAGGTGATCAGGAAGGATACCTTACTCAGGTTTATCCTTTTAATCTTTCAGGCCACAAATGACCAACACAGAAATATGCAGAGTGGTGTGTTAATAAACATTTTGAGACAGTGAGATCTGTGAAGTTAGACGTAAGGTCACACACCAGGCTAGGTGTCAGTTTGGTGTAGTGGTTAGGAGCGCAGACTCTAATCTGGGAGAACTGGGTTTGATTCCCCACTCCTCCATATGCAGCTGCTGGTGTGACTTTGGGTCAGTCTTAAGTTCTTTCAGAGCTGTTCTCAAGGGCAGTTCTTGAGAGAGCTCTCTCAGCCCCCCCCCCCACCTCACAGGGTGTTTGTTGTGGGGAGGGGGAGGGGAAGGGATTGTAAGCCCCTTTGAGACTCCTTCAGGTAGTGGAGGGTGGGGTATAAATCCAATCTCTTCTCTTTGTCACTTAATCATTGTGTGGTTGGCAGGAGCATGGGAACTGCAGGGGACACTTAGTACGGATTCATCTAAAACTGCAGCTGCCATCTGCTCAGGGGGATATGTTCAAGTGACAGTAGCCCATTCCATCCTTGTGAAATATCACCAACAAGAATGAAACACTTAAAAACAAACATACTTGACTTTTGAGTATTTTCTTGCCTTGGAAAACAAACTGAATTGACAGGAATCCTTTTAATATCCTTCAGGAATATTAATGGCAAGGAAGAGCACTGGCTGGAAGGAGCAGAGGAGATTCTGTGATTCCAGTCTGAAGGCTATTGGGATGAGGAAGAAAACACTTGAAAAAAGGATATCTGAAGAAGCAAGACAGTTGTGTTCCGAGTTCAAATTACAGGAAGGTGCATTTGAGACTCGCCTAGGGTAGAAAAAAAACATTGTATTAAAAAACAACTTTTCTTTTCAAACTCCAGACTCCTGGGCCGTATTACTTATTTAAGTTTTTGCAAGTGGAAGTTAAAGGAGCATGGTCTGTCAAACACTTTTTCTACAGCAATGAGCTGTAGTTCGCAGATGTATGTGAACCATGCAACTCTAAAAGGATATTTCAGTGCCCTGAAACAGGCCTATGCAAGCAGCCCTACACACTTTGCAGCATTATTCACAGAGCCCCAGTCCACATGGATTCCCCTCACGCCAGATGTGTAGGATGAATAATGTCTAAACATTTCATTATTGTGTCCTACAGGTGCTCCCTTTGATCCAGAAACTCTTCTGACCAACGCCGTTGGCAAGATTATTTGCACCCTAACGTTGGGTGACCACTTTGACTACAATGATGCAACATTCCTGAAACTAATACATTTGACCAAGGAGATCATGATGGTACTTAGCAGAAACTTGCCCCAGGTACCTTCACACATCAGTAAAGAAAGAAAAAGGAGGGAAACTGATGTTAGAAGGCCAAACATGGAAGTTCGGAACGGGGAAGCAAAACATAGAGCCGAGCTTCTTCATGTTCCCAAGAGCATCCCTTTGACCTCTGTTCCAAGTCCTTATTGAGACAGTTAAGGCAAAAGGTTTTATTGAGGAGCAGTTTTCCATTGGGGGGGGAGCAATAACCGGAGCCGATATCCATTCCAAAACAAGTGAAATGCTTTGTTCCACAAAAGAAACAGAAACACCTTTCGTCTTGTAAGCACCATAGGTTATGTTCACTGAGCGTTTAGCTATTTATTCATGCATTCATTTATATACTAATGTCTTTTAAAATTTAACAATTCTTTCCCATTTTAAAATGTTTAAAATTACACATACATACACACACACACACAGAGAGAGAGAGAGAGAGAGAGAGAGAGAGAGAGAGAGAGAGAGCGCAAGTATGGAACTTGGAATTTGAAAATTTATTTCAGATTATGTAATTCACCCCTTAATAATCAGGTTCTATAGTCTCTGGAGTTCATATTCCAAACTGCATGTTCTGTGAGGCTCAGGGCTTCCAGTGTACAGTCAGTTAAGTGCTTTTGCAAACAATAGTCTTCCAGATTGGGTGAGGAACAATTAATTTATTCTTCTCAAAAATTAAAAAAGGGGAGTAGTCTCATCACTTTCCTTGGAGAACTATAACAGCCAATTTTTTTAAAATCAGTGTATCTGGGAGATGCTGAGAATTTCTTTGCTTCAGCACCTGTACACAGAACACCACTTTCTATGTGTAATAAAATAGCATATCATCTATACAGTGTTGTAGTAGGTGCAAATGTGCAATTTTTACGGGATAAAGTACACATTCGATGGTTTCAATGACATAGCAGATAGAATGTCTACTTTATTATAGAATGAAGAGAAATGAAGGATAATTGGCAGTATCTGGAAATCTAATTGGCTAGTATAATCTTCTTTAGCTTTCAATATAGGCAGAAATGGTTACTGATCCTTTAGAGCTTCAGGCTATAAAAGAGGCTAATGTTCGAACCGATAGTAGAACCAGTGATGCTTCAACTTGTCATTACAGTGTTCTCCACTAAATATCAGAATAATTCAGAATTCTTTTTAAAATTCCCCTTGTTTGTGATCTCCATGGAAACTAGAAGGTGGCGTCCAAAAGGTCTATTTTTTAACTGGCTCATAGGTCATGCTTTGATCCAATGAGCAGCTGAAGGGTGAGGGACAAAGGTTTGACAACGAAGTCCACTGTAACAGATTTTTGCTATCATCCCTATAATGAAACTTCAGTTTTCGTTCATGCCTGAAAATTAGGTTGTGCCAAATATGTGCCACACCAGCACTATGCCTGTTGCTGGGCTTGTGGGTCACAAGATGAGGAGGCCTAGCATGGACACAAACAAGAATGAAGTTCTTCTCCCTCAAAAGAAATGTGAGTCTAATCTGAAACTATTTAAATCAGTGGGAAAGTTTACCACTGGCTTCTGTGGGATGAGCAAGGTAACTTGCTTGCTTCCTGCCTCAGTTTTTTCACATATACAAACATTAATAGAAATTGTAAAAAGTTGGCACCAGTGTTAAGACGAAGAAAATAAAGGTGCTTCTCTTTCATTTTAACCTTTAAACATATTGTTACTTACAAGAACATTAACATATCTTTCATGATGGGTTAATCCCGTGTGTACAGAATAAGGGAGGCTGCTATAATTAAAGCTTTTTCTAAACCAAAATATTAATACCTCCAGTCCTCGGATGTGAGAGAACTGGGGGAGGAAGTGGGCTGAAGTTGGGAGAAAGGACCCTCCCTGCTAGTGTGTGGAAAGGTATCTAGCTCGGAACATTCTACAAAAGTACAGTTTCATTTTCAGGGAATCAGCTGAATGTGTGCTACCTTTAACAAGCATCTTTCTTCTTTGGTTGCTGATATTACAGATACTGGGGGCAGGATTTTGGCTCCCATATATTCCTGGGCCTCACCAAAAAATTAAGAAAATGTATAATGATATTAGTGCCTTACTAACTGAAATTGTGATGAAACATAAGGAAACCAGGGATCCTACATTTGCGAGAGATATGATTGACACATTTCTGGAGGAGATGGAAAAGGTATGAAGAAATTTGTAGCTAAATCCCTTGGCCTTAGTCTGTATAAACTGAATCTCAGCTAATTTGTGACAGAAGAGTTTCTACCACCAGCACTAAGCCAAGATTCTGCAGGGCCTACAGTTCCTTACAAGGATATGTTTTCCTATATGTTAGGCTCTCAGCAGCTCTCGTCCCAAGTAGAAATCAGGATAGAGGTGGGGTTCAGAATTTAGGCCAGATTCTCAAGGGGGCTTACCAGAATTCTCAGAGGCTATGGCAGGTTCAAACAGGTCTAGACTTTGCAATGGCCTTCCGCATGCCAGAGAAAGGCCCAAAAGTTTCAGCACGGCGCGCGCGCACGATTTGGACTCCGGCCGGGAGCCCCCCGCTCCCAGCCAAACTGAATTTGGCAACTCTAATTGTACGCAATGCGTTGATGTCACCCAAAAGTGATGCAGGCATGTTGGTGACCTTTGGGGGGGGGGTGACGCACTGGTTTTTGGGCAAAACTCTATGATTTGAGGGCAATTTTACCACAGAGTTTTGGCCAAAAACCATAGCATCACCACCAACGTCACTGACACACCCATGTCACTTCCGGTTGATGTCAGCCCGTTGCGTGACATTCCCTCCCACTCCCAGAACGCCCCCTCCCCAATTCCCTGCCCACGTGATGATGGGACCTGGCAACCCTTATATTGGCCTGTACCAGTACTAAAGACATCAATAAAGAAAATCCACCCATCATTTCGAGCTAGCAGAGGAGAGAGCTTTCCATCCTTCTTGGCTAAACCACAAATTGTAGTAGTGTCTTTTGAATCATGTGTCTGCACAGGCATACATGACCCACAAAATAGCAGTAAAGGGTAATCCATCTCTTTGTGCATGCAAAGACCTCTCAGCTGTGGTGCCTCATGGTCCTCAGGATGTTGAGTCCTTCCCTGCCACTGGCCAATAGCTACCAATGCTTTGTTGTTGGGGTAGGGAATAATGGGCACAATGATTTCGGACCACAAGACAAGTTCTATTCGAAGTTATGGTAGTGGAGATCATGCAGTTTCCCATCTTATTATAGAAGAAGAAGGTTGTTTTTTATACCCTGCTTTTCTCTACCCTAAGAAATCTCCAACTGGCTTGTAATCACGTTCCCCTCCTCTCCACACAACATTCACCATGTGAGGTAGGGGGGCCTGAGAGAGTTGTGAGAGAACTCTGACTGGCCTAAAGTCACCCAGCAGGCTTCCTGTGGAGTGGGAAATCAAACCTGGTTCTCCAGATCAGAGCAGGCCCATAACCATGGGGGGCGCACAAGGGCGATGTCCCCCACAAATCTGCCCAGGCCCCATAGGAGGGGAGGGAACCAGCAGGAGGGGAGGAAGAGGGGACAGCCTCAGTGAACCCACACAGAGGCTGTGGCTTTCCCTCTCTTCCTGCTTGGCTATGGCTGTGGGGAGGGAAAGGCGTTTGTAAGCCGCTCTGAGACTCTGAGTGAAGGGTGGGGTATAAATCCAATCTCTTCTTCTTCTTCTAAGTTCACCCTTCCCAGCAGGTCCAATTTGCCCCCAATTCCCCCCCCCCCGCAATGGGGCTGGATCAGAGTCTGCCACTCTTAACTGCTACACCACTGACCACTGCACCATGCTAGCTCCCTTCTATTCCACCTTCTATCTAGAGACAGTGAGTACCATTTACTTTGTCCTTTAGTTTTGTATCATATGTAGCTTACTGATAAGTGCAATCATAGCTAATTCACAGGGCTGGCAGACAAAAAAAATATGTATATTTAAATAGAAACTGCCCATGTATTATTTCCTTCAGGCCAAAGGGAATCCAGAGAGCAGTTTTAATGAACACAACCTTAATAAAACTATTATTGAAATGTTTGTGGCTGGCATGGAAACTACTACTTCCACCATACTCTGGGGGCTGTTGAAAATGGTCCTTCATCCTGAGGTTCAGAGTAAGTGATGAGCATCAGAACTGGGGGAGGGACTCATCACAGGTTTTGTACCATCAGGTCATTCCCATATCCAAGAAATTAGTTTGATACTTAGATATTAATTTATTCCTATTGCACTTTCCATTCCAAAGGATCCTCAAGACAAGTGGGGTGGTTGCCATGTTTTCTAACAAGTAATGCCCACATTCCTTTTCATTCCATTACACCCTCCTTCTAATCACTGGCTCTTAATGTTAAGGCATCTGCCTAGGTGTTCCTTATACATTAACTTGGGACTGCGTGTCTTTTTATTGTACAAATGAAGTGAAGGAGGAAGCAGCTGAGACTCTGATGAGGATGAGATGGCAACTAGATAGTCAGAGGCCTATGAAAACCCATTACCTAAAATATCTAATTGGGCTCATGTAAAATTAAGTAGCAGATTGCAGCCTCGAATGAAGAAGATCTGTCCAGTGACTCCACTAGATGGAGACGATCTGCAAGGAAGCTGGTGGTGTGTCTCGAAAAACAGACTTTCCCCTATATTTGCAGGTGGTAGGGTAGATAAGCCATGAGAAAGATCTTCATTTGTGGATCATGTTCCCCAACTGATACAGAGATGGGGCACCACCAAGGACAGCATAAACATGATCCCTTGCTAGAGTTTCAAGTTCCTCAGGGAGCAGAGAGTTCACTGAAAATGTTGCTTCAGTCCAACTGACACAGGGCTAACAACAAACAAAGAAGCATCAGCTCTCCGCATTCATCTACATCTTTCTTTATTGGAAGGTTCAGAACTTTTAAGCAGTGTTGCTGTGACCAATGCACAGAAAGTGTCAGTGGGATGCACTAAGTGTGCATGTAGGGATGAAGGATAGGGTCCATGTGTTGCATGAGAAGCAAAGGGTAATGAAGAGAGGGAAATGATATTTGAGTGATATCATAGCATTTTCTAACTGTTTTCAGGACAAAGTGTGATACTTATATTCCTCCCCCCTGCTTCAGTGAATAGCCATCCTGGAGGGCAATTTTCACTAGCAAAAGGGTAGGGGAGAGGAAGGGTCACCCACCACCACCACCACCACCGCCACAGTAGTCGGGGACCCAAATATAACTGTCCCCTCCCTGGTAATTATGTTGTTGTTTTTAGTGTGGACGAAAATGTAGAGAAATCTGATCAAGGGTAACTCATGAAATGGCCATTATAGCTAGAGAATCCACCATTCTGAGCTGTTAGGAGGAAAGGTGGGATAAATCAACAATGTTTTTAAAATAAATTGATATTCCAGAACAAGTCCATGAAGAAATTGAGGAAGTGCTTGGCAGGGATCAACCACCTACGATGGAGGACCAGCCAAACCTGCCTTATACTAATGCTGTGATCCACGAAATCCAGCGGTGTGCTGACATTGTACCTATTGTATTGCCTTATATAACACACCAAGATGTTCAAATCGACAAGTTTGTCATCCCTAAGGTACAACCCCTTCATAAATACTTTTTAGAAATAGATCAGAGTTGACAAAATGAAGTGCTTGGCAGGGATAAACCACCCACAATGGAGGACTAGCCAAACCTGCCTTATAATAATGCTGTGATCCACAAAATCCAGCGGTGTGCTGACATTTTACCTATTGTATTGCCTTATAGAACACACCAAGGTGTTCAAATTGACAAGTTTGTCATCCCTAAGGTACAACCCCTTCAAAAATACTTTTTAGAAATAGATCAGAGTTCACAAATTACTGCCTTTTGGGTCACATAAAGGATCCTTTGAGAGAGCTGAAAGATAATAATTCTTAGCTAGCACAAATAGAATTAACTGAATTTCATGACTATATTGTAAAAATAATATTGGTGGGTGGGTAGGAAAGGAGGAATTATTCCTAAGATCTTGGCTAAGATCCTCATGGTGTTAGAACTGACAGAAGATGCCTAAGAAGGAACTGGCAGAGCATAAACATCCTAAGCTGACCACCAAAGGTTGTTAGCAATTCCCTTTCCAGAAGTTTTCAACAGTGCAGTGAAAACTGAATAGAAATCCCAGCTCAGCTCAAGCCAGTACACAGGCTAGCATCCATCATGCTCCTGCCCTTCAGAGGCAATAGAAATGTTCAAGATCATTCTGGTAGACACCACAGGGAGCACTCTCATCTCTTCCATTCCTCCCAAGAGACCCTTCTGACAAATGCATTTAAGTAGCTGCAGTACTTCATCTGCAGCTTTGAGGGCCTCCACCACAACACTTATTTTCATCAACGCTCTTTACATTTGGGCTAAAAATTTCACGATGGAAGATGCAAATTTGTCAGATGAGGTGAAATCTGCCAATTGAAGTGAAAGGTGAGCTCTGCAGAATCTCTCCAACAGAGTTGGGTAGCATTCACATTCTACACTCTCAGAAAAGAAGTACCATCTGAAATTGGGGAAATTGCCATGTGAAATTAGTAATATTGGGAGTTTCTTCTACCTTGTTAGGAGACCATGGTCTTCAATCATTTGTCTTCGGTGCTGAAGGATGAAACCATGTGGGAGAAGCCACACCAGTTTTATCCTGAGCACTTCCTAGACGCCAATGGACAGTTTGTCAAGCGAGAGGCCTTCCTACCTTTCTCTGCAGGTAAGCCCAAAAGGGAGGATGGTGGGAATAGTATATTGGGAATGGCAAATCTTTATTATCCTTTCCTTCATCTTTCCCAAGGATGGGATATCCCAAGTAATTTTTATGGTCTTTTGTCTGGTGAAGAGGAAGCATTATGGAACCTATTCTGGACATAAGTAGACTGTGCAGTCATTTACACCAACTACTCCATCATTTCTTTGCAACCTTATTAGGAGCTTGTAGCTGTGAAAAAGTAGACATGGTGAAACAAAATCTCACTTTCCTTCTATGTCAGGGAATTTCTGCCATCTCTGTCAATCTGGAGTAGGATACTATGCCTTCTATCTTCTGGCAGGCAGCAATAGAAGCTCTATTGAAACAGGAGAGTGGATTTTAGCTCATTTCAACTGATGCCTTCTCCTCACAGCAGACACTTGATTTTCATGGCTTTTATTCTACATGGATCCCACTCAGTTCTTGGTGTCACTTTTTGGGTGGTCATTGGTGGCTTCTGAAGACTGGCAAGGAAAGATCCACCTCCACCATCCCCTTTTCCTTCTGCTGCAAATGATCTAGTCCACAGAGTTCAAGGGCCAATTCTAGGAAGTATTTTGGTGTGAGGTCATGTGGGAGGACTGAATCCAACTTTTGGAACACTACCAAGAACCACCCTAAATGTAACTTCCTGGTGGTATGTCAAAATGAATCTAGACTGGCCTGCACATGGTGACACATTAGGGGATTGGTTGGGCAACGTTAACGTTTGAAGAGGCTGGAAGTCAACTTGGGCTGATTGAAATTTGCAGCTGACATGGTCTCAAAAATGATTCTCAGAATCAGTGTTCCCTCTAAGCTGAGTTAGTGTGAGCTAGCTCACAGTTTTTTAGCCTCCAGCTCATAAATTTTTGTCTCAGCTCAGGAAGGAGGGCTCCAGAGCAAACTAATTCATGCAGTAGCTAAATTGCTTGCTCACAACTTTAATGCCAGCAGCTCACAAAGTAGAATTTTCGCTCACAAGATTCCACAGTTTAGAGGGAACATTGAATCATCCCTATGTGAGTACTGAAAGTGATGTATGCACTTGTACAGAGAGAGAGAGAAAGATGGACTCTTCTTACTCCTGCTTTCCTTAAAAAAATCAACCTACTTCCCTCTCTCCTAGGTCGTCATGCCTGCCCTGGGGAACAAATGGCTAAAATGGAGCTCTTCATCTTCTTCACCAGCCTTCTGCAGCGTTTCACTTTCTGCATTCCTGAGAACCATCCCAGGCCCAAGGAAGACAGGCTCTTTGCCCTCACAGTCACTCCAGCCCCTTTCCAGATCTGTGCCATCCCCAGATAATGTCTCTGGGATGTCTCCTGCCTAGTCTTCTATGATGGCATAGGAATTGTAACTTGCCAGGAAAAGGAAATTTGGAGATTTAAAACAATTCTCAAAACAATGTGATACATTAATTAAATTGATGGTCAAAACATTAGTAAGTTTTGAATGAGGACAACTATACCTTTTAGGGAAAGAGGGCTGACTATTCCCCTCACATGTGTTTCAGAGGATGTGAGATTATTTATTACGCAGTGTTCCCTCTAAGCTGCCTTAAGTGGTGCTGGTACACAACATTTTAGCTAGCTGTTCAGACAATTTAGCTTCCAGCTCAGGAACATTTTTCCCTTCATTGGATTGGGGCACATCTGTAACAGCAGGGGGCTCTCAGCTCACTTTCCCCCTCTCTACTGCCAGTTTGCCCTCTTCTACACAGAGGTTTATGACACACTCCACTTTAAACAGAAATACAAGTTTATTTAAAATAAGACCAGGGGACAGGATTATTTATATACAGGGAGTCAATCAGTTGTTCAGGCTTTCTTTTGTTCCTTTTTTTTTCTTTTTAACTTTGGACTGCTCTTAGGTCTTTTAGTTTTCTTCCAGACCACACCCTTCCTGCACACTCCATCTTTTATATCGCTGTTCTATTGAAGGCTCTCCCACAGTCTAGCATCTCCTTAAACTGCTTCAGTTGCAGTTGGTCCCTAGGTAGAACTGTATAACCTTCCCCAACAGGATTTCTTATAGAGAAGCACTATGTGTGTCTGCGTTTCTATCATTAAACTCCTCAGCAGCTCACAGGGTCCACGCTCTCTCTCCCATCCAAGAGCACCCTTTCTCTCCTCCCTCTTCTGGTCAACAGTCAGCCATTAACCACCTTTTCAACCTAGGCTTGCCAAGTCCCCCCGGGGGCGGGGAAACCCCCGCCCCAGAGGCCTGTTTCCCATCACCGGCGGATCGGGCCCTGGGGGGAACCCCACCCGACGTGCACGTCACCCGGAAGTGACGCGACCATGCCGGGCATGCTGGGGGCGGGGCCACGGTCATCCGAGGGAAAACTCGATGGTTTTCCCTCGGATGGTCGTGGCCCCGCCCCCAGCGTGCCCGGTGTGGTCGCGTCACTTCCGAGTGATGTGGATGTGGTGCGTGCGTGCACTCCCGAAGCAGTGCAGGAGTCCCCCGCTCCAGCGCTGCTTCTGACTTGGCAACCCTATTTCAACCGCTTTTTCCTCCTTCCAGTTCAAAACTGAAGATTCCATAACCATTACGTCACACACACTCTCTGCCTCTCTGGTCATGTGACCACTCAGCTGCAGGCTACCTTCCAAGCAGCTGCCTATGCTTGTAAACTTTGCTCTGAAATTAAGCGTTCCCCTACAATGTTATTCTGGGGCCCATAGAATTGGACCCCCTGGTCCAATCTTTTTGAAACTGGGGGGAGGGGGTTTGAGGATAGGCACCAGCAGCTATCCTGCAAATTTGGTGCTGCTACCCCCGAGCACCAGATACCCCCAGATCAATTCTCCATTATAGCCTATGGGGAACTTTGACTATAATAGTTCCCATAGGCTATAATGGAGTAGGAAAAATTACTATTATTTTTTTTGCACACCCCTATTATGCTTTTCAGTATGATTTGTAAGATGCCTTGAGTCACAGTAAAAATGGGATAAAAATATTTGGATAAATAAGTAGTTTGGGCGGGTTGATACGCAACTTCCAATTTTTTAGGTTAGACAGGGTTCTGACAGTGAGACCGTAGTCCTCAAGAAAACAGAAGCAAGGACGAACTTTCCCGGGCTTGAGAGTCCGTTTCGACCTGCGTCTTTCTCAAACGTCAGTTTGTGGTGTTATTCTTCCAATCATGACTCTTTTCAACAATACATGCACAGATTCAATAGTGGCTAATTCTAGCTCTACTGCTCACAAAACTCCTTCCGGATAATACATAATACAAGATGTATTATCCGGAAGGAGTTTTGTGAGAATTAGCCACTATTGAATCTGAGAAAGACGCAGGGTGAAACGGACTCTGTTTTCTTGAGGACTACGGTCTCTTGATTTGATGACTTGTCTAAAGAATTAAAAATAATTACTATTGTTAGTTCAAAACCAAATGAACTTGTGCAGCAATATGTTGTTTTTGTATGTTCTTACAAGAAACAACAGTAGTGCAGAGACACATTTTCAATGTGTCGCACTCCTGTTGTATTGTAATTCCATAGTCAAACTTGATATACATTCATCATAGAGTGGACTCATATAGTTCCTGGAAAATCCATATAATCTTGAAATCCACAAGCCAAAGAGACTTGTAGTCCGGATGCAAGCTGCGGCGTTTCGAATAATTCTTCTTCCAAACCAATAGGCTACAGTGGAACTAAATACAAATGAGGATAAACAAACAAACAATATGTATAAATTGCATCGATACATGATACAAAAAAAGGAAATACCCCAATCTCAGTGGAAGCACATACAGAAGCCAGTTTATTCAATCACAAAGCATCATGGGTCCTTATCCCCCCATGTGTTACACATAATTTACATCTAAGTGTCAGGCTGCAACAACACAGGTCAAGTAATTAGAGATCAAAGAAAGGAAAATCAGGCTGCAAATGCACAGGTCAAGCAGTTTGAATGTTGCTGCTTTAGTCAATAAACTTAGGGAAGGATATCAGGTTGCAATTGCATAGGTTCAATAATTTGAAAGCTTACTACTGACTAATATAGGATGTAAAATCCATGCCTTGATTCATACCAAAAGGATAATATGTTTTTAATTCACAAATGAATCTAGTTTTCTTTTGTAATAGGATCTGTTCAGTATTTTGCATTTGAAAGGGCTAATTTTGATGGCAGTATAGAATTATAAACTTCATCACATAGTGACCAGCCTGCATATAATGCCCAACCATGGGTGAATTTTCAACAGCATTACTCACTCTTGACCGGTGCTCCAGCACCCGAGTCCTAATTGCCCTAGTTGTCATTCCAACATATTTTAGCCCACATTGAAAAACAGAAAAATAAATTGCATTCTTTGTAGAACAGGTTGCAGTAAAATTAAATTTATATATAATCCCTGTGTCTTTATCAGTATATCTACTGCCTTCTACAATATGCTGACAAGCCACGCGATGTCTACACTTTAGAAACCCTTTTGGATTAGTTGCAGCTGTGGTGCCTTTAAAGAAATAAGATCTAATCAAAGCATTTCTCAGGGTTTTTCTCTGTGTAGACCTATATATGGTGGCAACTGACAGCCTGGAATATGGGAGACTATATGCCAATGTCTAAAGATTGATCTTCTAATTTAAAAAAAAAACAGTTTATTGATAGGATATGATAACATTTTCATCATTTTCATTACAACAACTCATATTCTTTTCTTCACATATCCCTTTTTTATACTATCTCCCTCCCCACCCCCTTGCTTGGCTTCCCGCAATGCTCCTATCCCGTTATCTACTTCTTATTTTTTTTAATTTCACTCTTAACTTTATAATACTCAATATCATTAAACATTTAATTCTTACTTATCCATAACTATCTCATATACCCAGGTAACCTTAAATTTCAGTTTTCTATTAAATCATTCTCTAATATTCTGTTTTAATACTCATCAAAGCATAGTAAATTATTGGTGACATCCCAACTCGTCTCCACATATTCTTTAAAATCTTTCCACTCTTCAAAAAAGTCTTCATCCTCTTGATTATTTAATTTTCTTGTAAGCTTATCCATTTCGGCCATAAACAGAACTTTTTTAATCCATTCCCATACTTCTGGTACCAAGATTGATCTTCTAATTTGATTGGAAATACTGGAATATTGAAAACCACGTGTAATTCTTCTTGTAGATTTCCTATTTTTATATTTCAATAGCTCCTCCCTGGCTACATGCTCTGCCTGGGCTCTAGCCTATTTGATCGTCCTGAATGGATAACCTCTTTGTATGAATTGCTTCTCAAGTAAATCTGCTTCAGCAGCAAAATCTTGTGGAATAAATTAATTCCTTTTGGCCCGTATGAATTGTGCATAGGGCAAATTGTGGTGTAATTTATGTGGATGGAAAGATGTAAAATATAATAAAGAATTTCTGTCAGTTGCCTTATGGTATGGCCTGACCATAAGCCTGCCCTGATGAACATATACAGTGGTGTCTAAAAAATTAATAGACTGCTGACTGTAGTATATATCAAACTTTATGCTGTCATGTAATGTATTGAGCCACTGGTGAAACTAATTTAAGCATATATTGCCCTGCACTAACAAAAATATATCTCAGATACTTTTTAATGTTAAGAAAAAAAGGATTTTCAGATGCTAGGATGTATGTTTCTTCAAAATGCTGCATAAAAAGATTAGCAAGTGAAGGTGCAGCTGGATTTCCCATTGCAATGCCACATTTTTTAAAATAAAATTTTTGTTCAAACCAAAAATAATTATTTTCCAGTATTAAGTCAAAAATTTCAATCAAAAAATAGGTGGGAACAGGGATATTTTGTTGTTGCTCTAATACTTCTGCAATAACCTGTCTTATTTCTCCATGGGGTATATTAGTATATAAAGCCCTTAAATCAAGGGTCACCAGGTAGCAGCCTTCAGAAACCTGTGTATTCTCTACCTGTTGGATAAAATATGTGGTGTCTTTAATGTATGATTTCACCTGAATTACCAAGGGCTGCAGAATATGATCCAAAAATTGTGATATAGGTTCAAAAACAGATCCTACCCCTGATATAATAGGGTGACCCGGGGGTACGCTTCCTTTTTTTATGGATTTTAGGCAATGCATATATGACTGGTATCCTAGGGTAAGAGACCTGAAAGAATGTAAACAGGGGTTCTGAGATGATATTTAGAGCAAAAGCTTCCATAGTGGCGGTCTTAATTAAATTTTGAGCATATAAAGTAGGGTCATATGTAATGGGTGTATAATGTGAATATTATTAAAGAAGGTATAAACCATTGCCAAATAGTCTTCCTTATTCATGATCACAATTCTGCCCCCT